GTTTCTTTCTGCCCAGCTCTCCAGCCTGTCCAGGTCTCGCTGAATGGCAGCACAGCCTTCAGGCGTGTCAACCAATTCTTCCAACTTCGTTTCATCAGCAAACTTGCTGAGGGTGGCCACTGTCCCCTCATCAAGTTCACCCAGTGAGATAGCTTTCCTTGCCCAGCTCCAAAATCAACAAAACATCTTCCTGGACCAAGCAAATGTAATTTTTCCATGTTACCTAAAATAGAAGCCTGTTGTTTCAAGTGTTTGAAAGCAGAGTCCCTGTTCTTTGGGTCATTTAAGGCTTCCTCTAAAGTCTGGTGAGAGAGTACTTGTTCTTTAAGGTCAAGTTCCAGACCATTATTTGCTTTTTTCAACTTGATAATTAAGTTCTCAAGCTCTTCTTTGGATAGGGAAGAGAGAGTTACTTCATTTGCTGGTATTTCTGCTACTTCTTTTACACCTGCATTAATATCTTGGACAAAATAGATTGGCTTTGGCTTCTCTCTGGAATTACATTTTTTTAAAATGTTTTTGTAGTTGGTCTTCATACACGGTACGTTTCGGGTCAAGAGGGCATGGGATTCTTTTCCTGTCATTTTCTTTCTCGCGTCCACCCGCCTTGTGCTGCCCCCATTTCCCTTGCTGTACTCTGAAAAGCTGCATAGAGCACCTCTCGCCAGTCCTAGCAACGTTTGCATGAGCCCACGTGCTCCCTTAGTGCTGCTGTGGTTTGCAATCCTAATGTACTTTTCTGTCTGGTTCCACCTGGCACTGATGCAAAGGGTTATGGAAAAACTTGTGTCTTTCCCAAAGACACGTGTGCGTAGATCTCTGAAGAGACAAAGCCAGGCGTGGAGCAGCCTCCTGCCCTCCAGCTCTGGTTCTCTCCTGTTTTATTGCTTAAACTGTGAACGTGATTTCCTCATCTCATCCCAGGGCAGGCAAGGTGCAGCTGCTCCAGGACGTGAGCATGAGGGCACACCTGCTTGTGCGTTTCCCCATCCTGGAGCAGGAGCCTGCTTCTGCTTTGGGATACCTTGGGTCCATGGGGATGCAGAGGATCCAGGGACCTCAGAGAGAGGAGGCATCTTGAAGACCTCTCCTGAGCTCAGGCCCGGAGGTAGGCTGAGCTGTGCTCCTGGCTCAGCGTGGGGCTGGAGGTGGTATGAAAACCAAAGTGATGTACCCATTGTCAACCTGCTTTCCCACAAAGATTGGAGAAGGTCAGTGTGTGCCAAGCATTGCCAGCCTGGCCCCATGGAGCGGGTGCCCACCTTTCCCAGGGGTTGCACAGGCACACTGCTGCTCAGCCACCGGGGACATTGTTTTCAGAAAGGATGAAGAGGAGATTGAAGAGTCTCCACCCCACCAACTCTGGCACTTTATAGCAGAGGAACGTTCTTGTCTCGCTTCAGTGTTGCAGCTCATGGGCCCTTCCAGCCCAGCTCCCACGCTGTAGGTCACCCCTGCTGCCCTGCACGATGGGAATGGTGAGCACTGCGCCCAGCTGCAGCTTTTTGATTGAGAACTGGCTCCAGCTGAGGAGCAACCTCCAGCCTCTTTGGGGTATCCCAAGAAACCTGCTCTTAAATAGCACAAACTCCTTTCTCCCCCCCCAGCAGAGGGCAGGGAGCTCAAGGCAGCCCTTTGTGATGGGCCAGGTCCTTGCCCTGCAGGAGCACCCAGGCCCCAAAAGGGCTGCAGCAACCAAAGAGAAAACCCAGCCCCAGGCTCACCTCTGCCAAGCTGAGCAGCCAGGGCTGGGGCAGAAAGCAGAAGAACAGCTTCCTGCAGCACAGAGCCAGCACTGGCACTGACCAAACCAGGACAAGGAAGAAGTCTGACCTTCCTGAACATGGTGCTATGTTTGGACTATTCCTGACTAGTCACTTGAAGATAGTTTGTATTTCAGTTCTCAGCTATCAGTGTTTAAAAATGAAAGGAATTGGTGTAAAATAGGGCATTTTTTTTTTTTTTTTCTTGCAGAGAGGGAAGGAGATGGTGCCCATGCAGTTGTTTTGTGCTGGGCAGCTTTCCGAGGCAGCTGGCAATAGGTACTGCTAAAAGGCTGTGTTTTATTGTTTTTGAAACCTTGTACATTGTTCAGATGTTAAAAGCTGAAAGACTGTTTGTACTGGAAAGGAAAAATAAAATATTTCTTGCTGAGGTTTCCAGTATCAAAATGACTTCTGTGGCTTTAGGAAAAAAAGAGAGAAGCATAACACCCGGCTTGTGTTAAAACAGGGAGCTCAAGTTAAACACTGGAGCTATTTAGACAGGAAGAGAGGGAATCAGAGTAGCAGGAAGTGGTTCACACTCACGAAGCATCAGAGAAGGAAAAGCTGGATGCAGAGCAGAGGAAGGAGCCCAGCAGCACTCCTGCCTTGTACTGCATGGGGCTGCAGTGGACAAGAGGCAGTCTGGATTAAAGCACTGTCTATTAATTATTGCTGCGAGTGAAAAATGCTCAAAGCCCAGCAACTTTCATCCAGCTTTACAAGTTAAGCCACCTGACAGCTTCACTCCAGCAGCTACACCACGCAGCAGTGCTGGGTGTGCCAGAGGCTCATCTATAAATAAGGGTGACCCATCATCACCTTTAAAAGATAGCCATCTTAAATGAAGAGCATTAAGACACTTGGCTCAGAGAAGTACAGTAAGTTTTCAGTAGTCAGAACTCTCTTTACTGCTCCCTTTTGTGCTGTGTGTTAGAAGCACAGAATGGCTGAGCACCAAATGAGGAGCACCCAGTTGTGGCAGGACTCATACAGAGCCCTGGGGCAGGTCCTCACAGCTGATGAGGACAGGAGAAGGCTTTCAAGTCAATGGCAGGCAGGGGAGGTCTCCAGTAGACGAAGTGGCTGCACTCAGGGTACAGCAGAGCCATTCTCCCCTCCTGCCCAAGGGGAAGGAAGATCAGCTCCATCACCTCTGCTAGCTGCTTGTACCTACAGGGTGATGGGAGAAGCTGCAACAATAAGAGGTAACATAATGGGGCTTGAAGCAACCTAAAAATCTGAATGCAAACGGGCATTTGTCCACCCTAACCCAACAGGGATTTGGTTCTTCTTCTATCCCTGCAAGACGTTTCTTGTTAAATCCACATTGACCCAGTGGTGTGAAGAACCAGCACATCACTTACCTTGATTTGAGATTCTTCATCAGCTCCCGATCAGCTTTCCCTTGGGGTTGACTATGTGAAGATGCAGCTCTCAGGCAGACCCACCTGCTTGTAAGCACTGACATCCTGACCAGGGAGGGTCAGAAGGCATGAGAGCTGCAGGGAGGTATCACCACCATGCAGCCCAAGGCTGTGAGAGATGAGGGGTCAGAATGCAGGCTGGACTGCACGCAGACAGTCTGGGGACTCAGAGAAGATACTTGGAGAGCAAAAGAGATTTTGTGCACTGCAAGAGCTTCACCATGAAGCTCTAAGGAAGACAAGCTGTACCTCCCAGGAAAGGCATCCTGCACCAACGAAGCCAGATTTAAGGCTGCAGCATTCCCCAGTGTAGCAGCAGGGAGGGGAATGCCATCCTCCGGGTGCAGGACCGGTGATGGGAGAGGCTGGGGCTCCTGGGGAGGGCACAGCCCTGCTCATTGACCACTTGGGGCGATGCGTGCCTTGAGGATTGGACGGGCTGAGCAGCAGAGAAACTTGTAGCCGTGCCTGAGAACATCGGGAAGCCTTCCTGCTTGTTCTGCCTGCTGCTGAGAAACCCAAGGAGCAGCATCCCCACCAGCAGCAAGGGAGCTGAGCACAGCTCCCTGCTCAGCCCCCGGCTCAGGCTGGGATGCACACAGCTCTTACTAGACAGGAGATGAGGAGATCCAGCTGAGGTAGGGATCTGCGGGCCCACAGTGCCTCTCAGCGGCCAGAGAAGCTGCGAGCATCACTCAGCCCAGGGGAAATGACCCACTCTGCTTCTGCTACTGTGCTCCCTCTGACATGGATTGCAACAGGAGCACCGAGGGTCACTCGAACTACTCATGCAACAGTGCTGCATGTCACGTGCTTGCAGTGAAAAACCCCTGCCATGTGCCCCCAGCATCCCAAACAGCACAGCAACACCCAGCCATCGCTGACAGCAGAAAGTTAAGGCTATGTTATCCAGCATCTGTGAGTCAGGAGCCCTCATGCCAGCTCCTGCTCAGTCTCACTATCACCCTCCCACTTCCCTTTGGGGTCCTAGCTGAGCTGACGCTAACAGGTGGATTTTGTGGAAGGGCTTAGCAATGCCATGATGAGTCCAGTCTTTTCCCAGATGTGGTAAGATGTGCCCAAGAGCATCGGAACTAAAAGGAAAGGAGACCAAATTAGGCTGATCCAACCTGGTGGGCATCCAGAAAGATGGAGTATGACATCCTTCCTGGCTGCCTTGAAAGAACACTTTACCCCTAATGGGTGAAGCAAAGGCGAAGGGAGGGGAAAAGGGCCCTTTACTTGATGATGCTGTTGATGTCAGAGATCACCACCTTGTCACTCCAGTTCCACAGGTACATAGTGCCCCTGCAGCAGCACGTGTCCTGGTATTGTGTTGTCACACTGAATGCCACTTTGTTAGGGCCATCCTTCAGGTTCAACCTCCCCTGCAGCAAAGGGGAAACAAACACGGTACCATCAGCACAGGGTTACTCCAGTCCAAGGCTTGCCTGGGGCCAGGACTAACAGCCAGCTAGCCCAGAATGTCCAGTCTCTACAGAGTGGCCACCCAGGGCAAAATACTTGGATGCACTACAAAATCCTAAGGTCAGGAGTAGGGAAAGCCCCATTCCAATGTTCTCTCCTCCCTGTACATGCAAGCAGACAGTGGAGGAAGAAGAAAATACGTACCATTTGTTCAGAGGAGAGCTGCAGGGATTTCCTGTAGGTTGGCAGGGATTTCTGTGCAGAGGTATCTGTTGCTAATGCATCTCCTCGATGCAGGGACTCATCGCCACTAGAGGACACCTCCTCCTCCTCCTGTCTACACAGGGAAGAGCATGCTGGCTTTATTCTGCAGCTTATAGTTCTCCTTATGAGTACCAAGGGAGAACTGGAGAGGATCCAGGACAACCCACCCACCTGGCCATGGAGGAGTTGGGCTGGGCTAGGGCTCAGACAGAGATTTAACAGAGCTTTCTGCCCTTGTGGGCAGACCTGGGAATAATTTAGGAGGAGAAAATACCCCAAATCCACACAGACCCTTAAAGGCAGCCTAGGTTCCCCAGCTAGAGCCCAGCAGCAGGAGGAAGGCACTCACCTCTGCTGAGCAGAGTTGGGTTGCAGTGCCCAGCACTGACTGCTGCTGCAGGTGGAGAAGGGCATCATTAGCACCTTAGTGCCAAGGGCAGGGGCTGCTTTGCTGCCACTTAGAGCAGCAATACCAACAGCCAAGCAGCACTGGTAACACATCATCCTGCCTTCGAGAGAACATTACCCCATGGAAAAGGGGTTAGGAATTCTCAGTTCTTTGGGCATTGGTGGTACCCAGGCGTATGAGAACTGCTGAATCACTGCCTGAACCTCTGATTGATCACCTAGATGAGCAACGAGTCAGCCCTGGAAGCACAGGTGAAGGCAATTCACCTGAGCTGCTGGAAGGGGTGGAGCCTGGCTCCACTTCTCCTAGACCCATTTAAGAGCTGACTACCAGCAGGGAAGGATCCCTTTCTGGGGATCCTTCTTTCTGAGTTTTACAGGGAGCCCAGGACAAGGGTAAGCACTCTTATTTATGCTTTTTTTGTTATAATAACCTGTTTAGCCAAACTCTCTTGTTTATTTCATATATCCAAAAAAAATCACCCCCAGGTACCCCTGTGGAAGGGACAGACCACCAGGCCTGTGGGCAGGAGTGACACCACAAAGCCCCACAGCAGCTTGATCTCCATATGCTTTGAGGCTGCTACAGCTTGGCATTTTCTAGTAATGTCTTTATTTCATTTTCCAGACTCAAATTTTAAACATTTAAGCCCCTCAAGGCATAAACAGTATGGGCTACAGCTGTCAGGACCAAAGGACTGACTCCTTTGGGAAAGGCACCCAGAGGCTGAGGGCTCAGTTCTTAGAAAAATATGCCCTCTAACTCCTGCCTTGTAGCAGCTGGAAGCTTTGTGCAGCCAGGACTGGGGTGAGGAGGTCAGTGCCTTGATATGGAGATGCTATAGGTAGGCTGATATAGGGTCAGGTGGGGTAGGGCCACAAAGGATGGGTCAGGCAATCACTGCAGTGTCACTCCCTGAATTGCTGCTGGATGTAAGAACTGATGCACTGAAGACCAGGAGGAAGAAGTGTTACTTCATGGGGAGACTGATGGGGTGGATGGGAGGAATGAGCCTTCATTGTCACCTGGTGTTTTTGGAGGATGCTTTTAGTATCTCTACTGTAACAGTAAGACCTGGAAGAATGGAGTTGCGTGAACTGTTTCCCTATGAAACCTGCTGCCAGTCACAGAACAGTGCTCTCTAGAGAAGGCTGCTCAGAGTGCATGCCTTGTGCCAGACCCATGCTGCACCCAGCAGCCCAGCCTCTGCTTGCTGCTCCTAGGGCTCAGCAAGGGCTTTTGGACACTGTGGGTCTGGTAGGATGCAAGCATGACCTCTATTCCAAGCTTCCCATCCTGCTCTGCTCTGTCCTTTCTAGAAAAAGCAGAGGGGGGTGACACTTCTAAGCTATTTAAATGTTATTACTTTTCCTCATGGAAGAGTCAAAGCAGGACCAAGGCGTGCTCCAGCTGTGCCGTCTGCAGGTAGCAGAGGGGGTAGAAGCATGCAGCAGGCAAGCAGCACCCTGCCCAGACCTTGTTTGCTGCAAGGCATGGTCGGGTGCTGGCCATGCACACAGGGCAGCTGCCTGCTCTGCACACCTGGAAAAGTCCCACGCACCCAGTGCTGCCAGCAAGTGCGGAGCCCTTTGTGCTCAGCACCCTTAGGAGATGTATCGATACCAGGGCAGGAGCTTGCAGCCTTGCAGCAGCACAGGAACACCTTTTCAGAAGAGGGCAGCATTTCTTTGCTAGCTGAATACATCCTCTGCTGAGCACGAAGTAGAAAAGCGGAGCGCCCGGGAGCACACGAGCAGCACAGCCTTGCCCTACCTGCAAGCCTCCGTTCTCTGGACACTGGGGCAAGCATTTGAGACTCGAGCACCTTGAGGAAGTTCCTTCCCCGTCCCATCCCTGCACTGAGGCTCTTTGCTCACCCACTCTTCCTTTCTGGCCCTCCCACCCTAACTCCCAATGCAGCATGTTTGCTCCTTCCCCAACAACTCCCTGTGCATCCAGCACAGCCACACGGCAGCAGATGCAGTGCTGGTACCCCCGTGCTCTCAGAACATACCCGAGGTACCCAAGGCTCCACTTTGCCCGGACTCTGCTGAGTCCTCACCGGCTGTCTGTGAGCCACATGCTGCTTATCGACGAGGCGAGCCCTGCAGATCCATTGCTCTCTGGGCGCCCCAAGCTCTCTGCATCCTTTCACCAACTAGAGGTACAGCAGGCAGAGCTCTGTTCCTCCTTTTGGGACGTTTGCAACGAGATGTTTTCAAACGAAACTGCTATTTTTTTTATTACTCAACCGAGATGCAGCGTTTTCAGCCTCTTGCATTCCAACGGAAAAACGATGCTCATAAGCACGTCTGTCTTGGCAGCTCTCCGCTGCGTGCTGGGGCTCCTTGCCTGGCTTGGGCCGCAGCCTTGCCGGGCAGATACCAGCACCCAGCTGCAGTTTGGCGAGCAGCAATACAACGTCCCGGAGCATCGCAAGGACGCCGCGCTGGGCGCACGCCGCACAACCCGCCCTCCCTCGCCTCCCCCACCAGCTGAGCCCCGCGCATGCGCACAAACGCCCCCAGCTCTGATGACGTCACCTTCCCTCTCGGCCCGGAGCCGGAGCTCAGTTAATGGCGCTGTGTGCCGCGCCCGCCCGCCCCGCGTTCGGCGCCGCCCGCCAGCCCCGCCCCGCCCCGCGCTCGCCGCCGGGGCCGGGGCCTCCGCCGAGCCGCGCCGAGCCGCTGCGGCGGCGGGGGAAACCTGCGGCCGGTGAGTGCCGGGCGGGCGGCCGGCTCAGCTCTTTCAGCTCTCCGTCTCCCGGGATCTTCCCCGCGCTCCGCGGAGCCTCGGGCGGGCGGAGGTACGGGAGCTGTCAGCGGGGAGTCCGGGCGTGCGGCCCGCGGGGCTGAGCGGGGAGCGGCCGTCCCGGTGGGGTGGCGGTGGGTGCGGGGCGGCTCGTCCGAACGGCTTGTCTTTAAGGGACGAGGAAGGAAGGGGGGAGGAAAAAAGCCCTCTGTAAGATCGGAAGCGATCGCATCCGAGGCAGCGTTGTGTTCGCTGCAGGAGGACGCTGCCGTTGAATGCTAACTCCTGCCGGCTGCGGAGCTCTGTCACCTGCTGCAACTTCGGCGCGGCGCGGCGCAGCCCGGCTGCCGTTCTGCTCCCCGGCCGTAACGCGGCACAGCGCGGCCCCGGCTGCGGCGGTGGGCAGGACGTGGCTGCTGGGCTGCGTTTGGTTCCCGGCGCGGCCGAATGGGGCCGGCGCTGATTGAACTGGGGACGGCTGGAGTTTAGCAGAGGTTTTTCTGGCGGGGCTCGGATCCCGCGGTTCCGGCTGCCGTAAGAGAGCCGGGTGCTTTGTAGCCCTGAAGCGACTCTGGGTGATACGCGGCTATGGATGGAATCGGGCTGCTGTCCCCACTGGTGGCCATGGAGCAGGGGATGTGAGCGGCTCTGCGGCTCCTTCCCACCCTGCCCTCACCTCTCTGCTGTTCTTCTCAGCAAAAAGATTTTCCCTTTCCTGTTCAGACCTCCTCTTCCTTCCCTCCGAATACTTGGTGCCTCCGTGTGTGTGAGCTGTGCTGTTTTCTTTCTCTCGGTTACTATGGTGCTGGTGCGTGAGCTTCCCAGCTCCTCTCACAGGGAGTAAAACAGCCAAAACTTGGTTTTGCCTTGCTGGTGAGACGCTGTGCTGCAGCCGCCCCTTATTGCCCCTTATTGCCCCTTCCCAATCGCTTTGCCCGGGGGCTGATGGAGGCTGGGGCAGCTGCTCGGGGGCCTTTGCTGAGCTTTTCAGTGAAGCAGCAGCAGGCAGGGCTGCGACTCACTTGGAGAACTGTGGGAATGGAAAGTACTAATGCAGGCACTGCGAAGGTCCGTGCAAACGAAAGGCAGAGGATGGGAACAGCCTCACACCCGGGCTGGGACTTTCCCACCTTTGCCCAGGCACAGGTTTGTACTTCTGAGGGTGATCACCCCATCCAGACTCTGATCTTCCTTCTGGAGATGCTTCTCTCCATGCGTTAGAACGAGAGCCTGGGATGGAGGTGCCTGTGACTTAGGCACCTGTTCCAGGTCAGACAAATGCAGGTCCAGTTATAGGGGCTGATTTAGAGGAGGTCTTTCTTGGTGGTGCTGCAGGACCCATGGTCAGCGTGGAGAAGCCTGTAGCATCCATTTCCCTTCCCAGCTATGATGGCTTTGTTGAGTAGGAGAGGGGTGATGTTTCTAATTAAGAGAAAAACAGTCTTGTACTTCTCCCCTTCATTGTTTGTTTGTTTTTCTCTCTTTTCTCTAGACTGGCGTCCTAAATAACAATGTTTAAAGTGCAGATGGAGCGAAGTGAAATCCCAGGGCAGTGCTGTGGTGGGGCTGGAGCACAGTGATGACAGCATGGCATAGGGCAGAGCTGGGCTGCTCCGTTTGTCACCGGGGCACTCGCAGACATCTTCGTGCAGAGGGTGTTCCCAGACTTGTCAGAAATGCCATCATTTCCCTTTTCTCTCTCCTTTCAGAGCCGGACTGTGTCCTGGTGCCTTCTCAGTTTAGGGAAGAAGCTTCGAGGGAAGTTGTTGTGGATGAAGGAGAAGAACCTTTCAGCCTTTTTTCTTTTCTCCTTAAGAAGAAGATGTTTGAGAGGGCCACGTCAGGAACAGGGTGGGGAGGTTGCCTTGGAATGTAGCCTGCAGAGCTGCTTTAACACAGAGCAGTGCCTGGGTGGGACAGGTTTATATCGTGAGCCCTTGGTAGCTTGCAAAGGCAGGAGGCAGTGGAGAGAGTATCCAGTGCTGGGTTTTGTGTGGGCATCCTCAACTCTTCCTCCCCTTGAATGGTGTCTTGGGGCTGTTCTCAGACTGCTGCTGTGGAAGGGTTAGTTTGTTCTCCTAGGAAGATGAGGAGGGAGTGTGGCCCCCCAGCTTAGCTTGAGGATCTGCCTTCAGCCAGGTGCGTGCTTTGGTAAATAAAGAGGTTTGCATGAAGCTTATAATACCTTCTCTTGGCAATGGGTCAAGCAAATATTTATTTGCCTAAGGTGTCATGCCAGTATTGTACAGATACTCCGATGGGAAGTCACTCTTTTTTTTTTTTTTTGCTGCTTTGGTTCTTTCTGTGCCTGTTTGGTGCTTTCTGACAAACAACACCTGTTGATGGTTGTTTGGAACCAGTGGTGTATTTAATGAGCCAAGATCTCTGCTTTAAGGCTCCAACCACATCACTCCTGAGGCTCCAGATGGCATTTTGGAGATGAGCAGCACCCCAACGCAGTGCTCTTCCTGCCTGGGAGGACTGTGCAGGCTGCTGGTGGCACAAATGGGGCTGCTTGGAGCACGGTTTATTCCCAGCCCTGGTGAGGTGAGTCTGTGTGCTTGGTGCATTTGGGTTAATTGCCCCCTGGTGTGTTTGTGTGCTAGGTAGTCATGTGGGTGTGAGTGCTGGAAACGTGTCATCCTCTGGCACATGCAGGGCGTTGTGTGGAGCTGACGTGTTAGTTAGGCAGGATGGAAACACAGACTCCTCTTCTGAAAATGGTCTTGTTCTCCCTTTCTTTGTTAAGAACCGTTTCCATGTTGGAAAATATTTAGGAAAAGGAGAGCCTTTCTAATAGGGGCAGAGCTAATTTAGAAAGAAATCTGGGAGAAAGCCCCAGCTGTGCGAGCAGAGCAGGAGCAGGCATGTGGGCTGGGTTCAGAGCCAGCTGGGCAGTGAGAATGTTCTGCTGGGGCTGCAGTCCACCTGTTCCTGGCTGCTCCATGCCTCTGCTGCTTGTGCACCGTCAGTGCAGCGGATGTTGTGAGGAGCAGCCAAGTGTTTTAGGGAAACGCCAAGGATTCGGTGCTTTAATGGTACTTTACAGGCAGGAAGGGCTGGGGCGGTGCAGCAGCCACAGGGGATTTGCAGATCCCTCTTGGAGGTTCAAGGAGAGCTGGAGGTGCCTGGCTGTTACCATGAGATGTCAATTAGGGCTTGTTTGCTCCAGGTTGAAGGCCTGTTCATTTGGTTCTGCACTGACACAGCTGCCCAGGGAGGTGGGGGACTCTCGAAAGGTGTTCAAGAATTGTGTGGATGTGGCACTGAGGGATGTGGTCTGTGGGCATGGTGGGGTGGGTTGGGGTTGGACTTGGGGATCTTAGATGTCTTTTCCAACCTTAATGATTCAATAATTCTTTGGAGCGTTTCTGCCCACTTGGTGAGGAGTGCCCTGAGCTTGGCTGTGTGCCTGGAAGGCCCTTCAAAGCAAGGGGTTGCATAGGACTTTGGCAAAATAGGCTTGGCTGGCATTCTGCCTGACCTTGCTTCAGGTCCGTGCTGCTGCTTATTTGTGTCTGCTCTTTGGGTGTAGTTTTCCATCTTACTCTGTGATCTGGGGACACGTATGTGTCCGGGGCAGTGTTGTTTCCCACGGGAATCTCCCATCTGCAGGTTGTGGAGGTACCTTTTGCTTTTCTCAGTCGGATGCCTGAGAGCAGCCTATGGATCCCCAGCAGAGCGTGGGGGGTGGGAGCAAAACCACAGCTTCAGAAGGAGAAGAACCACAGTTGTTTAAAGGGACTTCAAAGTTTTCATGTTCCTGCTTTGATCTTTTCTGGTGTCTGGGATAGGTCTGTCTTCTTTCTTTTTATTTATTTTTTCCCTTGTTGTAGTTTGCAGCTTGCTGTCAGAGTAGTTGGAGCTGCGCAGGTGAGGGCAGGAGGAACTACTGCTTCCAGGGGCAGCCACCACACAAATGGCACTGCGGGCAAATGCAGCATCCCTCTGTGCTCACAGTCCTGCTGCTCAGCAAGCTGTGGAGAGACAGCAAGTCAGACTTGAAGATTGCAAATCTCCCTTGCTCTGGCAGTGCCTCCAGGATCCCTGGCAGCATCCAACACATAGCTGGTAGGTTCAACAGCTTGAGAAGGCAGCTCTCGCAGCTGGGGCTCTGTCCCTCTCTTACTTGCTAGCTGTCCTCTGGGGGGAGGACTGGAGCCCCCAGGAGCCATGATGCTGCTGGAGCAGTAGGCCGTGCCTGCCTTCATCCTGCTGCTCCTGCATAGGTGTGTGCTGCAAGCTCAGCAGTGGGCTCCTAACACAACAGAGCTCCTGGGCTTGGAAATAAAGGCTTGTTGGCCATATGCGAGGAGACTTTCATTTAAAAATTCTAGCTGAGTGGAAGAGGGTGCAATTAGTAGGAGGCAAGAGAGAGATGCTGCTGTGAACACCAGAGAAGCTGGTAAACAAGGGAGACTTGCATCGCCTTCCCAAAGTGTCTGTGCCAGAGATGTGACTGTTTTCTGCCTCTTAATGCTCAGAAACGCTGCCTGGTGCTGGGGTTGTTACTGGGTTCCTTGTAGGCATCAAGCTAAAAAGAAAATTCAAAGGAAATTATGCTGAATTTAAAATGTCCTTGATTCCTTTTTTTTTTTCCTGCTAATTTAATCAATTCCCCACGGCGTTGTAAATTCCAAATGTGAATGGGAAATAATCCCACCACTATCATAATTAGCATGTAACCATTGCATGCAGAAGGCCCGGCCGGACTGCTGGGCTCATGGTGAATGCACGCTATTTTCTGAATTGATTTCAGTAATCGCATCTTATGTTAATAAGAAAACAGGGCGGGGAGGAAGTGTTAAATTTTCCCTGAGCTTAGTGATCAGTGAAGCACCGTGGGACTGTTTCCTATAGAAAAGAAATGGAGGTTCTGCATGCTGAATTATGGAGACGGGGCGTTGCCAATCTTGCAACCGAGAGTCTCTGTTTCAGTTATTTATTTTTTCAAATAGAAAATAGGAATTGTGAGTGAAATATTTGTGTAATTGCGTGTGAGTGATGGTGCACTGCGAGGAGAAAGCGTTCCCCCGCGGAGGTGCTTTGTTGCAA